AGTTTAATGTGAGGTCTGTGAAAACTGAACATATTAAAATGAATTATGTGAATAAAGAATTGGATTTTTTTTGTATGAAGAAATGGAGTCACTTCTGCTTTGATGTAATAGTTTTACTCAGAGCAGGCTTCAAGATCTGCAGTGTTTTGCAGATCACTGGTCAAGCTTCCAATTTGTAAAGCATTTGCAGAATTCTACAGTGAGATCTCTACAGACAGAAGTACCTATACATTTCTATTTGACTCACACATTTGTTGTACTGGTATTTGTCAAATTGCTTGTATTCATTTTGCTGCTTTTCCACATTATTGGTTGCAGCGATTTTTTCACTATAGTTTTGATGTGAAGAATTCTGGTGAAGAGCTCCATTTGTGTTCTGAACTGAATATTTCAAGCTCTGTAGGCACATAATGAGCTGTAATAGTAATGAAGTTATTGGAAACATCTGATGCTTGGCTATAGGAGTCTAAGTTGCAATTTCTTCTCATTAATATGCCATGTTTCTTGTTGGCTGCATTGCTCTGAACTACTGCCACATCTAATTTCTTCCCAGAAGTGCAGACTTTGATCACATTATGGAGGAGGGCTATGAACTTGACCTCACTTACATCACAGAGCGGATTATTGCTGTATCCTTCCCTGCTGGCTGTTCTGAGGAAACTTACCTCCACAATCTACAAGAAGTAACACGAATGCTCAAATCCAAACATGGTGATAATTACTTGGTACGTGTAAGATCAGCTGTTTGTGACATCTTCTTTGGTCATGCAGGAAGACTACTTTATGTCCATATAAACCATTAGAAACTAAAAGTTTCCGTAAGGCTCTTTGGTCTGTCTTTACAGTCTTGTTAAGTGCAAGATTTTCAGTAGTGTTTTAAGCTGCTAGATATTGAAAACACTTTCTTTGCTGGGGCAGTGCAGTCTCTGTGCTGATGTGGTGATAACACGTAGTCAAATGCTAAAGAATAATTGCTCTGACCATCTTCATTGTCCAAAGCATGTTCTTAAAAGATACACAACCTGCAATGTGGAGTGTGTTCTTCTTTTGTAGCAGCGAGCTACCTCTGGATTCTCGGGTGGGTATCTGGTAGTCTCTCACTATCATGTCTTCACTTGTGAAGGCAACATGTAAAAGTAGGGTTGCTGTTAATGTGTTCTGTCCAACTCTTTCCCATTAACTTGTTTTAGGTGCATTTTTCATGCCATTTAGTTTTCTGGAAATCAAGTAAATGTGTAGTGAGCTCCGTGTGCAAAATTTTTCTTTTTTAATGTTGACAACAAGCTGTTAATCTCCTGTGTTGTTTTCTGGCTAGTGCCATGGCATGTATTTTCTCAGCATGTTCTATGAAGGTGAATTTAAAACAAGGCCAATATTTTATTTACTTTTTTCCCTTTACTGTCTTTGTAGGTATTGTGTGTTAACTGTTGGAATTAAATTTAATGACTTCAGGAACATGAACTTTACTCACAGTAGAAATTAGTAACTGGAGAGATTCCACTAATGATCTAAACACATTAATTTCTTCTCACAAACTGAGATGTCATAGGTGTATTATGAACCAGACTGAACTCATCATGTGGACTGATGTCTGAGAAGGATTGTAGTGTTTGTTTCTGAGAGGGATTGTGGTTAATTTCTCTGGCAAAGTTGATATTTTTTTGATTTTTTTGTTTCAGTTTTGTTCTATTCATTAGTTTATTTCTAAAGGGTACTTTGGAAATCAGCTGTCTTGATAAATAGAAAGCTTGATGCCATCTACTCCAAATGTGTTTCTGCAAATTTGGTCAGTGTCTGACCCAGCAGTGACAAATACCTATCATGAACAGGACTGTATCCTGACATGCAGGGATTTTAAATTGTTCTTAAGTTTAAATACAATTAGAAAGATGAATAGAAAAGTTTTTGTCAAGTACTTCTTCTTTTCCTCTGGAAAATTTTAGGTAATTGATTTCTTGATATAGCTTTAGCACTCATTTTAAGAATTCTGTACTGAGATCTGTATTGAGAACTGCACCTTTCTATTAATTTGTTTTCCAATTATGAAAGCTAATAGAAAATTACAGAAAAAATTGTGTAATTTATAGAAGACAATGTTTAATTTCTGTTTTACTATTGATATTTCAGGAAGGATAAGTACAGTGATATAGTTGCTTTAACCTGTCCAGTTTTTGGCTTCTTTGATTAGACAGCTGATGAGAGTGCTGATTAACGCAAAAGGGTAATACTTTAGAGACCCTTTTAGAAAAGGGTTCTTAAATTGTCCTTGGGTAGTAATAAACTGTATAATGGACTTGCCTCATATTTACCCTTTCTTATGTTTATGACCTGTTTATTCCATTCTCTCTGTGTAATTAATGAGACTTTTCAAATTATTATGCCATCTGTACGTAAGTCGGGATGTGAAATAGCCACACTGTGAAAGAGAATCTTTCTCATTAGCACNTTTGCTTACGACACTATGTCTTCCAAATGGAAGAGAACTCAGAAATTGGAAGCAGCAGCCATGAGATGAATAGGGAAGGAGGAAAGGGAGGATTTTCACAGTTTTTTACAGAGATTGTAAAATCAGTTTGGCTGTTCTGGTTATTTTTTAATTTTTTTTTTCCTTTACTTTTTTTACTTGGATGTACCATAGATTTATGTGTGAGCTCTTCCTTTATTTTTTTTAAGACTTTAAACCAGAAATATTTATAATTGGCACAGCTATCTCTTACAGTGGTTAGAGTGGTCACCCCATGCCAGTGTAGTAAATAATGTTGAAGTTTCAAAAGAAATGTCAAGCCTTCACTAAAACTTTAGGAATTTGAAGTTCAAGACTTAAATCTCAATGGGGCTGATAGTCTTGGTTAAGATTTTAGCTTGAATATTAGAATATATGTTCAAAGCCCCTCTTTATACGTGTCCAGTCAGAGACTTGAAGCTGGACTGTCCAATCTCAAACAAATTTACCACAGTAGTTAGCCAGTGAAGGAGTTTATTTGTAATTTTAGTCCTAGAGCTGATGAATAGGTAGCAGAAATAGCCGTATTTGGCTTGGGGGCAACCATTTTAAAGTTGTGGAGGGAGCATATGAAAACTTGAGTGTAATCTTTTATTGCATTCATCCATACAGACACTCTTTGTGTATACAAACTCATCTGTTTACCTGAGATGATTCTTTCAGCATAACTCATTTCAGCAGTCTTCCCCTTAAGTCAGAAGAAAAAGGAAACAGTGTGATCCTGCAAGCTGGGATAGTTATGTCAAGCTCTGTGCTTTTAGCACTCTGTGTTTCCTCTCAGTACTAAAGTGGAGAGAGCTATTGCTTCTAGCAGAGTGAGAGAATATGAGACATTTCAGTCAAAGTTTAACAAACTGGAGAGCAAATTCAAAACATTAAAAAAGAAAGAGAAGAAAGCTTCTTGCTTCTTATTCCATATTCCACCTTATAGTGATCCTAGAAAAAATTGCAGACTACACCAATCCAATGCCCAGCTGAGAAGTACATGGACAAAATCCCTTTTAACTGGCACACATTAGGTGTAAACCTCATTTGTGTCTCTATACACAGTTACACATATAGGCTACTTAGTTGTTGTAGAAGGGTGGGTACCGAGTCTTTCCCAAATGCTCAGCTCATGCACCTCATAAAGTCTCTTTATACAGAGATTTCCAAGTGACTCCAAAAACTGTATTTTGTGTGTTTTGCCTTTTTCTATTTGGGTCTGTGTATTTTTGCTAAGTAGCAGTGGATGTGCTAAGACTGAAAGAATAGTAACAAAAGTTTTAGTTGTACAGTTGTTTGTCCTGTGTATCGCCTTTAATCTGCTGAGAAGAACCTTGAAGTTTCAAACAAATCCATGTCTCATGGGTTGAATTAATAGGTCTGGTCAGTCTGTATGTTAGTTCTTCTGACTGACAGATTTGTACTTTCAACACCGTGGAGATTTGGTAGCTGACAAGGTAAATCAAGCTTTTAAATAAAAAAAAAAGTCAAACTTAAAGCCTATTCTCATGGATTAACTGTGAGCAGATCTTACAGTGCAAGCATTATGGTTGGTGTAGGAGATATGCCCTGATAAAACTGTGTATGGTTCATTTAACTAAACAAGGTTTTGAAGGTGTTGTAATTTACACTCTGAAAGCTTATAGCTCTTTCAAGGTGAGGTTTGTAACTAGAGTGTGTCTGGACTTCAGTGACCAAAAAATGTTGACAGTTATGAAACTGCTTCTCTAGTTCAAAACATCTTTCCCACAGCAGGATTTAGAGGCCAATTTTTACTTGTACCACTGCTGATAGTAGATTTTTTTGTAGTGATGGATTGGCTATTTCCTTTTAAAAGGTTTGTTTTAAACCTCCATTGATACAACTTAGCATGTTTTAAAGCCTTGAGAAGATTTTTTCATACAGTACTTACAGAAAATTGCCAGCAGTTCATTAGTGTCCACTCAAGTGTCTGTTTTCATGAACAAGCATAAAATGAGAGATTGGGTAAAAATGCAAAAAAACGGGAGTAAGTGGTTAGCAATGTACATCTCCATGGATATTGTACCTTGGAATAAACACTCTCTGTAGCTGAGTACTGTCATATAGACCTGAATATGCAGGATGATAGTGCAAAATTAATTAATTTTCCATATATCTTTGAAAAATAGTTACCTTATTAATAATTATTAATGGAATTAATATGTACTTCTGAATGTTTTTTTGTGTGCGGGTATGTATGTATGTATGTGCCATTAGGAGGGGATTTCTTAGAAAGTACTTAAACTATCTGGAGAATTAAAGTAGTTTGTGTTAACTTTTTTTCTTTTGCAGACTAATAACTCTGAGGTGGTTAAAAATCATGTAACCAGAAGTGTAAGTAATTCTATTTTATTTATTCTTTTTTCTTTTACTTGGCCTGATTTATTTTCCTGCTTGTGGCCGTATCACATCTTCACAAAACATTCTTGCTAGCCATTTTCAAAGTACACACCTTGGTTTCTGTCCTGTGTGAAATTAGCTTCTGATTAGGACCATTAACGTTTTTTTCCACCGCTGACTTTTTTCAGAAACAATGAAATGAACTCTGCATTCCTTGTTTTTAAGCAGGGGGGAAATAAAGGGAAATATTATAATCTTTATAGACTGAATTGTATTCAGAGGCATTCAGAAAGTCAGATTGTTTTTTCAGCAAGGATAGTGTTAATTCTTGTATTGTATTCAATATGAAATTGATCTTTAAGCTTATATTTGTTCCAGTTGCTGTGCCATGTTATTTAAAAAACAGATTAGGTACTCTTTCCCAACCCTTTATTAGTATGGCTGTAGTACTCCTGGTAAAAGTAGTATTAATGACCTTTATTGAAGTGCAGTAGAACATGGTTATCTAACTGATGCAGAAATTTCTGCAAATAGGAAGTACAGCCCATTTCAATACTGACAGCACTTTTAAGTATACTTTTAGCACAATTTCTGTAAAATAAATAAGACAAAAAAGTAAAGTTTCTTAAGTCCTTTGCAGTTACCTTTTAATAGAGATGTCAAATCTTGTAGATTTCTAAATAAATCATGAGAGATACATATAGTTAAGTATCTGCTATTAGGCAATTGTGATGCATGTGTTTGATTTCGCCTGTGAAAATGAGGCTAAAATTTAAAAAGGGACAGAAGAAAGGTCTTGCAAGGTGTACATGGTCTTCACTGATTTATTATTCAATTTCAGGCAAGCTCTCTATTGCAATAAATGAGCATTTGTTTCACACTGTTAGTCTCTTGTGCGTTGCATTTATTTTGTGATGCTGTCTGTGGTTCAGTGCTGCAGGCTTCTGCTGGTGCCACTCTGTGCAGGTTGTGAAGAGTTCTGATCCCTGACTACCTATGTAGACAGGAGATACTCAAAGAGGTTATGTTTGTATTAGCAGTATAGTTAGTTTCCTTTGGCTGACAATAAATATTTTTCTACAACCAAGGGTATCTCTGTGTTGGATTCATGCTATTATCTACTCTGTTTCAGTAAAATTAGAATTATTCCTAATTGCTAGAATATATTTGATAATTGAGATCAGTTAAAGTGTCTAGTGACATGATTGTTTCTCCTTTCAGTTCACTGTTCTCATCCTTAACCAGACAAATTGACTAAAATTAAAAAATCAGAAAAAAGCAAACTTCTTAGTTATTTGCATGTGAATAATTGGTTTTGATGGCTCCTTATAGTGAAACAAACTTGAAGCAAAATAATGAGATCATTCTCTGATCTAGTTGCTAGCTGGAAGTCTTTAGCATCTTTGTGTTATATCTGAATACTTCAGAAGGTTTCCTGTTTTTACTGGTTGTTGCACAAGCCAGGATCATGTTTCTTGGCTTTTTTTTCTGTACATGTAATACTTTGTGCACAGCCATTTTGAAAGCAACTTTAATAGCAAGCAATGTTTTTTCAGCTGTGCCTTTTATCTTACTACATTTGCATTGATCATTATTTGACCATTAGTGAGCTTCCTGAAATTGTCAGTAGTTACTTTCTATGGACTAGTGTATTCCAGGAGCAAAGGTTGACATGGCTTGATGTACAGATGAAAGGTCCAATCTGAAACACAGACTTCTATTTGGAAAAGAGAGGAGGTGTAGAGCTACAAGGCTGGGCAATTCATAGAATGCTGTCTCCAGGCAGTGGGCTGGGATACAGCCATGAGATGAAGCTTGAATGAGGCTCTTGCAAGTGTTTTTCTGTGACTGCAGTACACATCCCATCTGTGTGGTGCTAATGGGAGGTGCATCCCTTGTCTTTCTGTTCTCTTACTTCTAAATCTGTGCCATGCTTGTTCTCCTTTTATTTTTATTAACTAAATTAGAAGAAACTGCTTTAACTGTTTTGTTTTTTTTCTCTGGGATTTCTTCCCTTCTCTCTCTCCTTTGCATATTATTTCTATGGCATCTGGTTCAGAAAAGAAAATCTCTCTTGTTTTTTCCTGGCAATGTGTTTGCTAATGGAATATTTCTAGTGCCAGCCCTTACTGCTTTATAGGAAAGCTGTGTGAACATCAGCCAAGACAGTTTTGATTAGGCTGTGACACTACCTAGGTTTCAAAATTTTGTTAGCTTTATTCTAGTGTTCAGGTTAGCTCTGAGGCATGGATAGAACTTTCTTTCTTGGGAAATCAGAAGTACATTTTCTTACATTTAAAGGGCTTCCTCATGGAATGTTATTTTATTCTTAACATATTAATGTATTTCGAACAACTAAATTGAAATTTAGAACTAAAGCTTCAGAAGTATGATTTTCTAAATGTGAGCATGTGTATTTGTAAAATTACACACTAAACAAGACACAATTATACCTTATTCTCACATGAATAATGATTTTACATGCATTCAGTATTTTCTTAAGAGTCCTTAGTAACAGAGATGCGCTATGTGCCTTCTCTCTGTTATGAAAAAAGACCAAATGATGAGTAGACAGCCCAGCTGTACAAGGAACTTTAAGGCCATGAGCAGGGCTATTTTCTTGAATCTGAGTAAGTTGGAAGATAATATTTCTTCCCTAGTTAGTTCCTTCTTGCCCTGGCAGATTGGTAGGTAGAACTCTATATCCAAGGGCCCAACAAACTTGTTAAAATTGAGGTGGATTACAAAGCCCTACAGAGAACTTCTTTGGAGAGCCTGGCAGTTTTGACTGAAATGTTGTAGGAAAGGTACATGGTAGCAGCTTTGCCAGCAGCTAAGAGTCAGAGAGAAAGCAAGCTAGGATTTATAACTTCTGTGGACACTGCTACTTGCAAGGGTCCCATCTATCTAGACTCCTGCTGTTACACCACACAGGGGAACAGATCAAGATTTTTATGGACCACAGTATACAAAACAAAACTATAGTTGCTCTCAAACAAATAGCTATTTGCAGTAGAAATAAATCGCTTCTGTGGAGTCAACTAAAACAATATTTTTAATTAATATTTAATATTTACTACAGGAATTGATACACAATAGCAGAGAGACATTTTTATTTACAAAGCATGAATATTTTCTGCACTTGGAATCATTCTAAAGCCAGAGGCCAAAAGATTATGCAAATTATGATTCTCATCCAAAACATCCAAACATGTTCCACTGTGTCAGTAGGAATTATTATGGTGAGCAGTCCAATGACAGTGTAGTTCATTGCCCTTTTTTTGCAGTATGCTGGAGTGTATAGAACTGTCACACTGTGCCTTGGAATAGGTTGGAGAATTTCTTCTGATTTGAGAAATAAAAATACATCACAGATCTGGTTCAAGTGCATTCAGGTATCCTGCTGATGAGTCTTTTTATTCGTGTTTTTATTTATGCTATTTGAATAGTGAACAATCACACGGAAAAAAAGTTTCATAAGATGCTTAAAATCTGCGTAAAACCCATATAATTTTATGCAGGTTAGCTAATCAAATTCTCTGTTGCTTATAGCAGTACTAAAAATAGGCACAAATAAAATACTTATATCCAAAGTAGGTACATGTCATTCTTTCAAAATGTCCTAATACCCTTAAGTCACAGATTCATCATTGATTTACATTTCAGATCGTTGTAGTTTCTGCTCATTGATTCTTATACCTGTTAATGCTTTCATTCAGTAAGGAGCCCAGGAGAGAAACAGATGAGCTACGTGAGTGCATGTCAGATCTTGTAGTTCTGAATTTTCAGTAGTGCAGTTCCTCAAAGGAGCATATATATATATATATATATATATATAGTTGATGTACAGCTGACTCAACTGTTGAGAACAGCCCAGTCCTTGAAACGAGGTTTTCTTATATTCTGCTGAGATAACTTTTAAGCAGATACTGTATCATACTACTAATACTGTCATATTATAGTTCAGTGCCAGCAATGGGGTCTTAGGAAAGGCAACTACTTAATTTTTCATTTGACTTCCTTAGCCTGTCTTTGATTCTAGTCTCAAAAAGGGACAAGTCATAATCCCCTGTAGTATTTCTAAGCCCACGTGTGGCCCACATGTCTAATTTTACTTTGGTATTGGAAACAGTAGTTCACATATTAGGTTTTTGATTTACTTACTTTTCCAGAGCTGTGTAGTAACTAAGTGTACTGCAAAAATGCAAATGAATTTATCTGGTGCAAAACTGAGCTCCCTTTATCCTTTGACCTTTTCATAATCTTTCTGGTGTTAGAATCTCTACTACAGAGGACTTTAACCTATGAAGTATGTAGGCCTAGTGAAGTTTGTAAACCTACTGGCTGTAACCCAAGTTTTCTTATTATGTTCTTGGAAAAGTGAAGAATGATCATCTAGCTGAGACAGTGACTTTTTTTACAGATACTTTTTTTTTTGCAGGCACTATTTTTCACTTGATTTTCTCAATTTCTTTGAGAGACACCCTTTCATCATAGGACAGAGCATGCAGATTTAGTAGAGAAGTTATTCTTATTCCTTCTGTTTCTGAACTTTCAGAGTTGTCTCAATGCCATCTCTGTGCCACATGGTGTGAGCTGGCCTGTACATGACCTTTATCATGTTTTTTCTCTGAAGCTGTGAAGCAGCTCAAAGTAAGATTATAAAGGTATGAGATGCTGTTTGCTGCATGGGACAAGCACAAGCTTGCTATTTGAAACAAGCCAGGTGATCCATGATGAAATTTACCCTCTTTAGTGTCAGAAGAAGGTGAATAAACAGGGCTGATCTCAAAAGTCTGTTTTGTTCAGTCTGTGCTTTAATTTAATTGGACTGCTTGGCTCACTTTCTGCACTTGCATTGGCAGCAGGCTGTACTGGGAAACTTATGTCTGGTGACTGTTTTGATCTGGTGAAAGCAATACAGAACTAAATATGGGACTATTTCTTAGCTTCTGTAGCATGCCTTGGCTGTAGGGGACTCTGGATGGTGTCATAGTTTGATACTGACCCAATGCCAGGCACTCATGAGAGTCACTTGCTCACCCTCACCTGCCACAGCTGGGCAGAAGAGAGGGAAAAAAATAAACAAAGGCTTCATGAGTTGTGATAAGGACCAGGAGAAAACACTTCAAGGGCAAAACAGGCTCAACTTAAGGTTGCAAAGTGAAATTTATTACTAACAGAATCAGAGGGGGATAATGAGAAGCAAAATAAGCCATTCAAACAGTGTTTCCTCCCAGCCCCTCCCTCCTTCCCACTGGCAGCGCACAGAGACAGGGCATGGGGATTTTGGTCAGTTCATAACTGAGATTTTCTTCTGCTGCTCTTGGAGAGGAGTCCTTCCCATGTGAGATTGTGGGGTCCCTCCCATGTGAGACAGTTCCCCATTAACCTCTCCAACATGGGCCCACTCTCAAGAGCAGCAGCCTACTGCACCTGCTGCAATGTAAGTCCCTCCACTAGGCAGACAGTCCTCCCAGAGCTGCTGTGGTGTGGGTCTCTTTCCATGGGGTGCAATCCTCCAAGGACAGGCTCCTCCAGCCTGGAAGCAGGGGCCCTCCCTCTCCATGAGGTCTTCCACTGGATCACAGCCTCGTCCAGACATTACCTGCTCCAGCATGAGCACCTCCCTCATGGGCTGCAGGTGGATCTCTGCATCCCCCTTGGATCCCCATAGGCTGCAGGGCCTCAGTTGCTGTACCATGGTCATCAGCACAGAGGAATGCAGAGGAATCTCAGCTCTGGTGCCTGGAGCAGCTCCTGCCCCTTCTTCTCCACTGACCTTGGTGTCTCCATGTTGTTTCTTTCACTTGTTCTCCCTTCCTGTGGGTTTTCCAGCAGCTTCCCACAGGAGCCAGCTTTGTGGCCTCCCTGCTACCAAAAATCAGGCTGTACAAAACCAATACAGATGGTTTTGTCTGAGGACTGAATTTTTGAGAAAGTTGGCATAACAAGCTCTGTGATGAGCCCAGTACTATGTGCAGGAACCAATGCCTGTGAAAGACACAATAAAAAAAAAGTGTGTTTCAAAGGAGTGAGTTGTGTAGCTTGAGTTTTTACTGGAAAAGAGCAATGACATAGTACCTTGAATGCGTATTGTTTGGAATATAAATATTAGTTAAAACTGAATAAATAGGTGAATAGAAGGTATTTACTTTTTTGAAAACTGTTCCTTATATGACTGTTTATATTGTCAAGTATACTGGTTAGCATTGCCAGGCAGTCCCAGGGAAGCAGGGGAACAAGAATCATGAGGAGTAGTTAACAGAAGAATAATCTCAGGGTGGTCTGTCTTACTCACAACATATCCAGCACTAGTTTCACTGAATCTGTCATAGTTACAACTCTAAATTTTTAGCCAAGTGTGGTTAAAGCACCATATGGAACCATATGGAACCATTTTTCATTGTCTGGCATCTTCTCTACTGCTGTTAGTTGTCGGGAGGTTAAAATCATGCCTAGCTTTTTGAGATTTTCTGTGTAATTGTCCATTCTGGGATATGCCAAATGGTATTTGCTGTCTTGGAAGGTTAGTCAAAATTTTTGCCATTATTCCTCCAGTGTGTAGCAAGCAGAAAACTGTCTGTTTTCACTTGGATGGTGATGATTTGCCTTTGTGAATGGTCTGCCTTGTACTGCTGAATCCTGTTTTGGGAAACTTGTATTCTGATGGTTTGGTGACACAGTATGCATATAGTAAATATATCTCACTAATGTTTTTTTTTGCTAGTGGTTTGCATTATGTTATTGTTCATATGCTTATACACTGCATGCTTCTAGGATTTATGCTAGTTTATATGGCACAACAGTGTGAAATAGGGAATGATTTTATCACTAACTTTCTTACCAGAGGAAGCTGTCTGATTATTCAGGATACATGACAGTTTAGTCATCAAATTTTTAGTAAATAGCAGAAGTACTTCTTAAGCAATGGATGCATCTGTGACCAACAGAAACCAAGGAAGTGTAGAGTCCTGCTTCTAATTGCTTTCTATAAAACCAGAACAAAATATGCCAAAAGCTATGTCTTGAATTTCAGTTATAGTTATTTACTTGTTTTGGCACCAATTTTAACCTATCTATCTGTATTATCTAAAGCCTTTAGAATTCTAAGAAGGGATTGGGTGAAAAGAGGCTGAAAATACCATGAACTTTCCTCATCTTCTGTTGTCATAGAAACTAGTGAAACTGGGATCAAACACTGACACGAAGTGCACCTTATGTGATCAGTTGTGCTTTAAAATTTGCCAGAACAGTTCAATTTCAGAAATTCTGAAAGAAAACATGCCACTTTCATGCTTGTATGTGTCCTAGTTATTCCCAGATTTTGATACACAGCATCATTCTATGGAAAGTTCTAAGGCATCTTCCATTCAAACACAGTTTATTTGGTTTGAGAATACTTGTTTTGTGTAGCCCAAATAGATAGGGTTTATGAGTTTTCCAGCTCTAACCCTTAATAAATAAGCTTTTATGTGCGTGTGTCTGTATATTAAGTGTGAATACAGGGCAGGGAAGAGGAGGGGGAATACTCTTATTAATTTACTAATGCATGATACTAAATTTAACTTCTGATTTTCTGTATTAAAACATAGACATATCTAAGTGCTAAATTAAAAAATATACAAAATATGTGAATTAAAAAATATATATAATAGAATAAACACAAGCTAAATATATATATATATATACATAGTTAAATATAAAGTGAATATTGTTATTTACTTTTATTTAATGTTTGTATAGTAGTAGCTGTCTTTTTGTAGTTTTTTTTTTCTTTTTAAACCTATCCTGGAAGAAAGGGATACTTGCCCCTTCCAGATGTCTGTTTCTCTCTTTTACATACCGAGCTTGGGTGACAATCACACTGGAGCTTAAATGTGAAACAGCTACAATTAGGTGAGACGAGTTCTATTACTATGGTTCATGAGGGAGAATATTTTTACACTTTTTCATTCATAGTTACTATTACTGAACAAATGGAACTACAAAAATAACTACACATTCTCAGGAGTAAATTCTCAGGAGTCTGATACAGGAGTATGTATTTCAATATTGTCATAAGAGAATCAGTGGAGAGGAACTTGCTTTTGCTGGTTGATACAGAAATTCAAGTTACATGTTCTTAAAGCCCACTATGTTTTCTCTGATCTCAATGCAGTTACCAAGACGAGCACTAAAAATGTCAGAAAAGATGTTCTAGGCAGTAGTGAGTTGGAAGAGATAGTAGAAAGTTAGACAAAACGTGGGTATAACTACAGTGTTTGCATTCAAAACATAAGGCAATGATTCTCTTGTATCGTCTTGTTGTTACAGTCTTTCAAATCATAAATGAGGAAAAAAAGGCAGAAACGTTGGCATCAGTGATGGCAAGTAAGGTTCTGGATTGATTTTTCTGCTTTCTTTGTTCCAGAATTCCAGCAGTGCTTTGAAGAACTCCTCTTTCAGTTGTGACAAAGTATCACGGCAAGTATTTCCTTATGTTTTTATGTAGTAGTGTCACATAGTACCCTGGTGGACTTAGGATTTGTTATTTGTGGTTGTGATTTCCGAGAGTTCATTCTTATGCAAGATAGAACCTGCTATGCAAATACCATTTTTACAATGACTTTATGAGAAAACAACTAGGCATATTTACTGAGCTGATCTTCTGATATTTTATTAAGAAGGACAAAGTTGTGCCCATCACCCGGAAAAGAGAAATATTTATAGACTAACCAGTGAAATTAGTTAAATTACATTCATGTCTGTTGTACTTTGGGGACTGGTTTTAGATTCACTTCAGTTTTATGTTACATACAGGTAAAGATATTATAAAAGAAAGGCCTTATAAAATATAGTTTTAAGCCATGCTACTCTTGCTAAACTAGCAACTAGCATGTGAGTTCCCATAAAGAAAAATTGAAGGAATGAGTAACAGTTAGCATAACAAACTATTCTTGTAGAGAAAAACAGTTTGCACCTGCATAAACAATAAATCTATCCTCTGGGAATCCACATAGAAATATGTAAACTCCTGAGTAAAAGAGAGAGTCTTAGCACGTACACACAAAACACCTTTTATCCAATGAACTGGGTGGCAAGAAAACTACTAGCCAGCTAGAGTTTAATGTGAGGTCTGTGAAAACTGAACATATTAAAATGAATTATGTGAATAAAGAATTGGATTTTTTTTGTATGAAGAAATGGAGTCACTTCTGCTTTGATGTAATAGTTTTACTCAGAGCAGGCTTCAAGATCTGCAGTGTTTTGCAGATCACTGGTCAAGCTTCCAATTTGTAAAGCATTTGCAGAATTCTACAGTGAGATCTCTACAGACAGAAGTACTTATACATTTCTATTTGACTCACACATTTGTTGTACTGGTATTTGTCAAATTGCTTGTATTCATTTTGCTGCTTTTCCACATTATTGGTTGCAGCGATTTTTTCACTATAGTTTTGATGTGAAGAATTCTGGTGAAGAGCTCCATTTGTGTTCTGAACTGAATATTTCAAGCTCTGTAGGCACATAATGAGCTGTAATAGTAATGAAGTTATTGGAAACATCTGATGCTTGGCTATAGGAGTCTAAGTTGCAATTTCTTCTCATTAATATGCCATGTTTCTTGTTGGCTGCATTGCTCTGAACTACTGCCACATCTAATTTCTTCCCAGAAGTGCAGACTTTGATCACATTATGGAGGAGGGCTATGAACTTGACCTCACTTACATCACAGAGCGGATTATTGCTGTATCCTTCCCTGCTGGCTGTTCTGAGGAAACTTACCTCCACAATCTACAAGAAGTAACACGAATGCTCAAATCCAAACATGGTGATAATTACTTGGTACGTGTAAGATCAGCTGTTTGTGACATCTTCTTTGGTCATGCAGGAAGACTACTTTATGTCCATATAAACCATTAGAAACTAAAAGTTTCCGTAAGGCTCTTTGGTCTGTCTTTACAGTCTTGTTAAGTGCAAGATTTTCAGTAGTGTTTTAAGCTGCTAGATATTGAAAACACTTTCTTTGCTGGGGCAGTGCAGTCTCTGTGCTGATGTGGTGATAACACGTAGTCAAATGCTAAAGAATAATTGCTCTGACCATCTTCATTGTCCAAAGCATGTTCTTAAAAGATACACAACCTGCAATGTGGAGTGTGTTCTTCTTTTGTAGCAGCGAGCTACCTCTGGATTCTCGGGTGGGTATCTGGTAGTCTCTCACTATCATGTCTTCACTTGTGAAGGCAACATGTAAAAGTAGGGTTGCTGTTAATGTGTTCTGTCCAACTCTTTCCCATTAACTTGTTTTAGGTGCATTTTTCATGCCATTTAGTTTTCTGGAAATCAAGTAAATGTATAGTGAGCTCTGTGTGCAAAATTTTTCTTTTTTAATGTTGACAACAAGCTGTTAATCTCCTGTGTTGTTTTCTGGCTAGTGCCATGGTATGTATTTTCTCAGCATGTTCTATGAAGGTGAATTTAAAACAAGGCCAATATTTTATTCACTTTTTTCCCTTTACTGTCTTTGTAGGTATTGTGTGTTAACTGTTGGAATTAAATTTAATGACTTCAGGAACATGAACTTTACTCACAGTAGAAATTAGTAACTGGAGAGATTCCACTAATGATTGAAACACATTAATTTCTTCTCACAAACTGAGATGTCATAGGTGTATTATGAACCAGACTGAACTCATCATGTGGACTGATGTCTGAGAAGGATTGTAGTGTTTGTTTCTGAGAGGGATTGTGGTTAATTTCTCTGGCAAAGTTGATATTTTTTTGATTTTTTTGTTTCAGTTTTGTTCTATTCATTAGTTTATTTCTAAAGGGTACTTACATGCAGGGATTTTAAATTGTTCTTAAGTTTAAATACAACTAGAAAGATGAATAGAAAAGTTTGTGTCAAGTACTTCTTCTTTTCCTCTGGAAAATTTTAGGTAATCGATTTCTTAATATAGCTTTAGCACTCATTTTAAGAATTCTGTACTGAGATCTGTATTGAGAACTGCACCTTTCTATTAATTTGTTTTCCAGTTATGAAAGCTAATAGAAAATTACAGAAAAAATTGTGTAATTTATAGAAGACAATGTTTGATTTCTGTTTTACTACTGATATTTCAGGAAGGATAAGTACAGTGATATAGTTGCTTTAACCTGGCTTTAACCTGTCCAGTTTTTGGCTTCTTTGCTTAGACAGCTGATGAGAGTGCTGATTAACACAAAAGGGTAATACTTTAGAGACCCTTTTAGAAAAGGGTTCTTAAATTGTCCTTGGGTAGTAATAAACTGTATAATGGACTTGCCTCATATTTACTCTTTCTTATGTTTACGACCTGTTTATTCCATTCTCTCTGTGTAATTAATGAGACTTTTCAAATTATTATGCCATCTGTACCTAAGTCGGGATGTGAAATAGCCACACTGTGAAAGAGAATCTTTCTCATTAGCACTGTTTCAGTTCTTGAGTAAAGGTATTTCAGCTGTTTGTTACTGATTGTTACTAATTTAAGTCACTTTTTAATGAAAGTGTGTACACTGCTTTCTTTTGTTCATTTTGCAGTGTATCTCTTAATTTATTCCTTATTAAGCACTGAGTGGAGGGCACCTTGCAATTTAGTGGGTTAACAGAAGAGTTGGAAGATCTCATAGGCTAAGCTATAGTTAAATAGGTATGTCATGCCTTCCCTGCAAAGTTCTGACAGACCAAGACTTTCTTGTCAGGCATGAAAATTCAAATATTTAACACTGTACTACCCTCCCAGACTCCTCATTGTTAATTCTTATGCTCTGCATTATATTGCATGATAGCCAAGTCTCTCAGTATATCTCTGACTCAAAGCCATGCAAAATAAATAAGATGTAGTAGAATTTTAATTGTCCTTTTTCAAAATGTGCATTTAGGTGTAACTCTAGTTTTATTATAAAATGACTGAATATCTAAAATATATTTGCTAGTGCTACCTGATGTTAGTTTAATAGAACAATGGGCAAACCTGATGCTGTATCATTGTAGTTTCTTGTAATTTTTATGTTTCAAATACATCTATTTACTACATTTACTACAATTATGAAGTCTGGATGGTTAAAATTTTTTTTCTTTCTTTCTGAACAGGTATTAAACCTCTCTGAAAAGAGGTATGACCTTGCCAAGCTTAACCCAAAGGTATCCATTGTCTTCCGTAACATAGATTTCTAGTGTTAAATACAACTCAAATGGCCTGATAAGCCCTGAAGCTATGCAAGTGTTGATATACAGAGTAAGAGAAGAAGTTTTGGAAGATATGCAACATGCATACCTTTTTATTTTTTCTCAAGTTCTGTTTTGTGTCTCTTAGATCTGTGTTTTACACAGCTATTCCTGTTGTTTTCTTAGACTTTACACACAAGACCAGAAGCCTGTTGTGATTTCTGAAAAGCTTCTATTGGGTGATAGAACTTTTACTTCAAGTATACTTTTTTGTGCAGTTAGAGGATACTGGGGTTATATACTGTAATGTCCAGTTAGCTGAAGCTAGGGAACTCAATTCAGATAAAGACTTCCCTTTTGTACTATTTTTGAGTAGTTGCTTTTCAGCCCAGTAGAGACATAAGAAATGCCAGAATGATTGATGTCTGACTCTTGTTCCTTCTCACCAATTGATGTTTTTGTTGTAAGAACTGGTGTGCAGGTACACTTCAGCATCTGTTATAAGGCCAGACAGAGTAGCACAGATGTGTATTTTCAGCAGTACATTTACAAAGATAAGGTACCTAAGGAAAGTACTAAAATCCCTCTTAGTTTTAACTTTTTGCATGCTTTATTGATCATGAGGGATGTGTTTTTTTAATATTAGGCATATGTTGAATGCATAATATGTTTGCATTGCATATGTGTTGTTAGTAATTATGCATATGTTTTGCTAGTAAATATGAATATAATAAAAGCAGGCTTAGTAAACTATTGTGTAGTGAATAAAAAATATGAACAAAATTATGCCATGCTGTAATCAAGTTGCACATGAAGGAAATAAATTGAAAATAAAATGAAAGCCATCAAAAATTGTTCTAAAAAACCTTTTTAGAAATCAAGACCTTCAGAAATGTAATTTTTAAGTGTTTGGTGAGATTGGGAGGGGGTGAGGAGGAGGAGGTTTTTTGTTTGTTTTTATAAAACTAGATCTACTGGTATCTTAAAAACCAACAAATTCCCTCTTCCACTTAAGAGACCTGCAAGCATCATGACAATTGATTTGCATGATTATCTGAGATGGGAAAGGATGAGGAGACTTTCAGCCATGACAATTATTTGAATCCAGATTTTAGTATGTGATACTAGAGTCAAGGTGTCTCTTGTAAATGTTACTTGTTTAATTGCAGATTATGGATGTGGGGTGGCCTGATCTCCATGCTCCACTCCTTGATAAGGTGTGCACCATCTGCAAGGCTATGGAGTCCTGGCTGGACAATGATCCTCAACACGTGGTGGTGATCCATTGCAGAGTAAGTGGATGGGTTTTTATTAATTCTCAAAAACTTTGTCCTTTACTCTTCTCATTTTAAAAAATAAAAGTTAGATCTGTTTTCAATGTTGACAACAGTGTGTCATTGTGTCAACAATGTGTGCCTGATGTTCTGTGGATGTAAATAAGCTTAAATCTATTGACCTTTCATGCTTGTTAAAGATTTCTTTATGAGTCCTATAGCCCTTGCTGCAGGTATCACATGAACCAATGTTACTTCATCCTTCAAAGGCCGCTGTTACTTCTGTAAATGTATTTAGAATCTAGAGGCTTTTCCTGCTTGATGGAAAACTCTCCATGTTCTGTGATACTCATGAGTTTTGTTGCCGGATAAGAATAAGCACTGTATTACAGATTATCTCTTGAGACTGTGCATGGTTGTTGGAAATGAGGTCATTAAGGACCTTCTGGATATTTTTGAAAGGCTTTAATTGACAGCATCATTGCAGTGCTTTAGAACAAAGCTACCAGTGTGCTGTGTTGCTTCCTCCTGCTTGCTCACAATAAACAGAAATAAAGAAAAACCTTAGTTAAATTTGGATAAAGTGAATTCAGAACTGGGGTGGTAGCTGTGCTCGTGACTCTTGAGGCAAATCTATCTCTATATCAGTGACAGATGTTACTCTAAGCAAAATGACTGCGATAGTGGTATGGAAACTTCTGTTCAAGTCAGGTTGTATGGTCTTCAGTCCCAAATTTCTTCCAGGCAGGATGCCATTATTGTATGAAATACTTGAAATCTTACAAGTTGCAGGAATGCAGCCAGGAGAACGGCCCATACATGGGGCAAAAGAAAAGGGAACAAAGTATTTCTAGGTAGACAATCATATACAAATTGATAGTGTATGTTCTTGGTTAATGCCTTTTGCTTATAGAGGGTTCCAGCCACAGGGATATATACAGCCAACTACTATCAGCTGAGGGACTGAAAATATTTTGAAATCTGTGAGAATTACTGCTTGTTAAATTTTACTGCATTTGTCATGTAAATTATTTAAAATTACTTTGAAACCTTTTTTTAAATATTAATAGAAAATCGTTACTATAAATCTCGGGTGATGGGGAGGTAAAAATATGAAAACCTGTCATAAAGGTCTATTATTTCTAAAATAGGTGTTTTATAGCATTTCATCCTGGGAATTGCAACATTGTCTAGATTGGTTGTGAATGATCTCTGGAAAAAATAATAAAAAATTAGAGTAGTTTAGACAATTTTTTTTTCTTTTTTCCCAGTTGGTTCCTCTTAATTGGTAAGATTTGACGCATGCACATAGAAATCCTGCTTAGTGTTTTTTTATGTCATTTGTCAGCCACCTTACATTGACAGATGAGCTGCTGCCCATTATTTCCACCTTTCCATCAATGCAGGGTGCATGAGCAAAACGGCTCTGAAGCTCTCTTGCCTTGAAATTTTATTTAGTATGGGTCTTAAATATAATAATGCCCAATAATGTAATACATAATATAAGTTATTATTCCCTTTTTCCTAATACAGGGAGGAAAAGGAAGGATAGGTGTAGTCATATCATCATATATGCACTTTACCAATGTTTCTGCAAGGTAAGTGTGAATAATGCATGTTGCATGTTTTTTTACAATAAACATTGGGGAACAATGCCTTTTGGTTGATTACTGTCTGTCAGCTTAGTGTTTGTCAGGTTTTCTTCTCAAAGAGTTTTAGAGCATGTCTTTCTTAACAGAGCCTGCTTTCATGATAGTTTTCTTGTAATCCTGCTTCCAGCAGGAGGTTAGATTAGGTAACAGCCTGAAGTCCCTTTGAAACTGAGATTCTATTGGTTTACAGAAAACTTTTCAAAAGGATATTTTCAAATGAATGATAGAATGTGCAGGAAACCATTTTTATGTAATGATACTACCTTTATTCTATTAAACCTATATATTTTCCACATCCATCAAGTGGCCTCTTGAGTTGGTGAGAAATTATTCCTTAAGTACTTAAGGAAAATTGTTACTAGAATCTGGAAACAATGTTTGAATAGGGAATTCCTAAACATTGATTTAAGTGCAAAATCAAGTGTAAGAAATAATCTAGACTTTATTTTGCAGTCAGTTTAAACAGTAGTTGTCTCATTACTTGGTTTTAATAATTTCTTTTGGAGTGCTCAAATTATGAAATGACAATTGACGATTTATATTAACAAAAGCTACAATTTGATAAATGGTCTCAAAAAGGATGAAATGCATTTTAGAAATTTTTGTTTGGTTTCTAATCACATTGTTTTCCCTTGGGGTTTTTTATTTATATACATAAATGTACTAAAACATTACATTTTAATACATAAATGTTTTAAAAGAAGAATACGCTCTCAATGTCATGGTTAAATCAAATTTGGTCCTGAATTCACACCAGCCTGTCAGTAATAGATTTTGATCCACTACTGTAGTTGATAGAGTCTTGACTCACTAGAGGTTGATGGCAAATTACTCAGGGATGTCAATCAAACTAGAATCCTGGAAAATAATCTGTGTTCATTGGGGTAAACCAAATTTATAAATCATTATGGACCAAGAAACTATAGTGTGCACCAATGTGCTGAAAAAAACCACATCAGTGTTTGCCACAATTTCATATTTTGTTGAGAAGTATTTTGAATGGCAAAATCTGTCAAGTGAGGGTAGTACAGTTGTTGTGGTGTCATTTCTGTGTTGCAGTATTATGTCATCCTTAAAGTGATACCTGGCTATAAATACATTTTAATAGCATCATTATAGTCACATTCAGGTGTTGTTTTGTTAAGCCCAGCAATGAAAGGTATCACCTTTTACCACAAACAAATTCAGGATTCCTCCAGTAAAGTTGCAGGAGAGGAGTGAGCTTGAAAGCCCTCTAACTTTCTGGGTATCTGGCAGCTGATATCCAAAACTTAACTTTTCTGTGTAAGAATGAGGTTGGGGATTTCCCAACAAGGATTTGTATATCCCTAGAATTACCAAGACTCTTGCAAATGGTACACAGCAACCTTGCAGAAGCAGAAATCACTGCAGGTGCTGCTGTTAAGGGTGCCATCTACTGTGTCTGAAATGGCACTTAGAAGACCTTGAAGATGTTGACACTAAAGAAAGCTCTTAATTGTCAGCATGCATAGGTGTCCTGGTTCTGGCCAAGACAGAGTTAATGTTTTCAGTATGCATGTGTCCAATACCCGGAGGTTATTCTATACCACCTCATCTCATTGCTGGGGGTGAGGAGAAGGGGATCCTTCAAGGGAGAAGGGGCCCATTCTGGTTGAGAAGGTGTGGCAGAGGGAGACATCCAGTGTTGTCTGTTGTTGGTGGTTTCCATAGTGACTGGTATTTCCTTTCTTCTGCCCTCTGTCATTAGTATTGTTGTTATTACTATTAATTTTCTTATCTCATTCCTGTGTTCAGTAAATTGTTATTCAAAGATCAAAACCTGTGATCTTTCCCTTTGTGTCTCCAGTTCTCCTCTCCATCCCACTGCAGGGGACAGTGAGAGGAGGGAGGGAACAAGCAGCAGTGTGGTTTTGAAAGTGTCAGTAGGAGCATTGAATTAGGGAATTCCATTCCAAAACCACAATAACATGCCAAAAAAACCTAGGCTTAGTGAAATCCTGTGAATTTAGTCTTAACACCTCTGCTGTAAAGACAGGCTAAAGATTAGGATTGGGGTTGTTCAGTCTGAAAGAGGAGTAGGCTCTAAGTAGACCTTCTAGTGATCCTCCAGTACCTAAAGGAGGCCTACAAGATGGGTGGAGTGGGACTTTTTAAAGTAAGGCAGTGTTAGGACAAGGAGGGAATGGCTATAGACTGAAGGGAGGGTATATTTAGATTAGATATTAAATATAAAGAATAAATTCTTTACCGTTAGAGTGGTGAGTCACTGGAACAGGTTGTCCAGAGAAATTGTGAATGCTGCATTTCTGGAAGTGCTAAAGGCCAGATTGGATGGGGCTTTGAGTAACATGGTCTGGTGAAAGGTGTCCTGCCCATGGCAGGAGATTTGGAACAAGATGATCTTTAAGGTTGTTTCCAAGTTAAACCATTCTATAATTCTATGAAAAATCCTAACTGATGCAACCTCCCTTTAATTATATGTTGTAATATCAAATTTTCTCGTTTAGGAAGGAATAATGTGTCATCAAATTTGGTGACATCAAACAGAGCTCTTTGCATTTGTTGGTAAACTCTATTTTAACAAGCACAGTGCTAGCAGTTTTTTGGCCAGTTAGGATTGGGCTGCCTAAATTTTGGATAGCAGTGGGTGAAGATGTATAAAGATATATGGTGGTTTGTGTGAGAAAGAGGTTTTGGGTCAAGAATATTTTAAGTACACATTATGTAGTTTTTAACACCCATGAAGAAAAGGCTATATTTTATAGCCTGATCCAGAACCCTGTCAAGACAATTGGCATCTTCTGATTAATTTTTGGAAAAAGCATATATTTAATTTTTATGCTGATATACATACGTGTACTTTGCACAGGTTTTTTTCCTCTGAATTCATTTAGGTTGAACTAGTTGTGGAATTTAAAAGTTGAGATTATGGTGTGTTCTTATATTTTGGAACTTCTAGATCTGTTATGTTCTGATTTAAATTAAAACTCTGAACTACATCTGTTATGAGACATACTGTTTTTATCTGGAATAGATATAAAAGAATCACCATAGTACATTACTTGGCATATGTGATAAACAACCTTCTTACTGATTTTTGGCACTTCTTTTTCTTTTTTTCTGTAGCCTCTTGCCTTTCTTCACCTAAAAAAGACCCACATAAGAGGCATTCTGGATAGAGAATAGAAGAAAATGTATTTTTGGAATATGTTGCTCCTTGACTGTGTGTTTGAAGAGTATGTGGTTGTCTGATTTAAAATAGTTCTTTTTCAAAGACAGTCTCTTCCTTTATGGGTCAGGGTACAGGAAACAAATGCAGAATGAATTATTGACTGCTTAAATGAACCTCTGTCCTGGTACTACAGTTGTTTCTGAAAAAGAAAATAAATTTGTATTTTATAGAGAGAACTCCCCAGTGGCACATTCAAGAAATTATGGCAAGTATCCTTCTTTGGGAGCCAAAGTTCTGACAAAGTTTTTTGCGTTCTGATTTTAATGTGTCCATGTTGGAAGTATGCCATTCAGTTAATTGAATAAGGAAGTAGGTGCTTTGCTCAGGAAGGAAACTATCTTAAGTTGTTGAATGAAAAGGTGTCAGTGGAATAAACATCATTGTCCACAGTGTCCAAATTACTAGAGTTGCTAGTTAGATGCCTCTTTTTGTTTATTTTTCTTTACTTCCCTCATTTTTTTCTTCCAAATATTTTTGCATATTTCAAGCAATAACGTGCTGAATTTTCAAGATAACACTGAAGCAGAATAACGTGTGTCTCTTTCTTGACAGTGCTGATCAGGCTCTAGACAGATTTGCTATGAAGAAATTCTTTGATGATAAAGTTTCAGCTTTAATGCAGCCCTCCCAAAGAAGGTATTCAATTTGTTTCTAATTTATATCAACAGGAAATGTCTTTATTGTCTTCTGCTCTCACCCCTTACTCCCTCCCCAGCTACTGTATAGTGTAACTATTTCCACAAGATCCTCCAGTGCTTCCTGGATTCTCAGCACTTTATCTTATATTAATATTCCTTGATGAGATCTCTCCTTCAATTCCTGCACGTGGTCCCAGATAGACAAGACCGTCTGTACCACACAGTTATCTAAATGGGTTCTCACTGCATTGTTTGTTAGCAAAGAGATGCCACAATCTTGATTGTTCCAAGACAACAATAAACTCATTATTTCATAGCATAATGCTGAGTATGGAATGTGTGCTGATTTGTGTGCAATAAAGATTTTTTTTACTACTTGTTTAGAGGATTACGCACTTGCCCCGTGTCCATGCTAGTAAATGTTTCTCAAAGCATATTCATTATGATTATCTGTGTTACCTTTTCAGTCTGTCTGTGTGACAAAGGTTGAGTTAGGATTCAAAATAATGAGCACTTTGGAAAGTGAATAGTTCTGTGGTTCACTGTGTACCTTGTTTTGATGACTGGTAATTGAAGGATTCAGTACCAAAAGATACTGGTATCCATCAGACAAGTAGATGTTATAAAGGTGAATCTCTTTCAGAAATATATCATCTGAGTTTGATTTGGTAATTAGTGTTTATTTTTTTGTCTTAATCCATGTCTATGCAGTAGGTTGTTTAGAAGTTGTTTAAAGTATAAGAATTTGCTAGGAATTGAAACAGAAAAATCAGTATTAACAACTAGTGTACAGTGTTTGGTTCTGTTCATCCCTAAATATAAATTTACCAGTTACTTTTTTAACTCATTAGGTGACATGCACAGCTCCTTTTAACTTGAAAAATAGTAACACAACGTTCTATTAGACTTGAAATAAACTTTTCGTAAGTAGAAGTTAAAAAGTAAAGAAGCTGGCCTTTTTTTGTTTCAGTTTTATGCTTGCATATATGTGTATTGCATTTTAATAATAAGGATTTGAGTATGCTGCCTGCCAGACAGAGAAGTGTGAACCATAGCAACAAAAGGGAAGATATATTGTTAATCTTCCCATCCAGAAGCCCTAGGCAGCAGGAATATTTCAGTGAGAGCCAGGAACCTCTGCAACTGCCTGTGAATTGTGCATCAGGGCAGTTTTTCAACCATGTTAACAGGAAGCTTCAGTAGCTACTAAGTTAGCTGAACTGTATGTGAGCCCTAAAGCCAGACATGAAATATGTATAGATGATTGTTGCATCTTTCTTTCCTACACACCCTTCAAGGACACCTGCTTAATTCTTCTGGAGGTAACTGTGGGGGGAGGGCCTCAGAGATACTCAGTTTGCTTCTTGACTGATGAAGTTAACATCTCTGCTCACCAGTACTGAACTTGAGCTGCCCTTACCATCTTCAGACATACACTCATACTTTGTCATTTCTCATGAGAACAGAGGTGATTTTCCAAACTGTTTGTCAGAACTGTTCTCCTGAATCTCACTCTCCTACCTATGTCTGGCCTGGTAGCGGCTGCTAATCTTATTGCAGAGAGAGGAAAACCAACTCCTGTAATATTTGTGGATAATTTTATACTCTGTTCCTATTCTGATCAGTCAGTGGCTTTTTAATGTGCTTTATCTCTGAAACCACTGCTGGGTAATTAATTACTGATATCCTTATTAAAACCCAGTTGATATAAGTGGGTATAATTTAAGTGGATCTCAAAATCGTAAAGTATGAAAATACACCCATTTTTCACATTTTGAAACCTTTTCTCCACTGAATATTTTCCAGATAAAAATAAATTGTGGCCATTAAATCACATAGGTTTTCCTTACTGCTAGTTGGGTACTGTAACAATGGCAAGACAAGTAACTGTAGATGACCAGATCTATTTTGAATCCATTCTCAGATAGGAAGTTGAAGACTTGTCTGAATGAGAAATGCAGATAGAGACCCTTCATATGAAAAAATATTTCTCATAAACCTTCAGGATAGATCCTTGAATGTTCTTCTCAAAATAAGTGAACTGTCTGTAGGCCCCTTAAGTGCACTGCCTTGAGAATGGTTTTCAAAAATTCAGTTACATTTTTGTAGTAATTAAAAAGCTGGTAGAAGAAAGGGTTCACACTGATATTAATAAACTAATTTATTAAAATTATGAAAGGTCACTGACAAAACATTTTAACCTGTTGTTTTTTTGTCATGTTAGGTGTGTCAATTTATAAAATTTGTGCTTTTGGTGTACCAAATTCTTTCAGAAAGACTGAAGGAGAAATAAAAAAAAAAGTTGCCTTTTCTTAACATTTAAAATAAATTGAGCTTTGCAAGCTCTCTGTGAAATTAAATCAATTTTAAATCACCACAACCCCCATTCTGGGGTAGTAAAGCTGTTGTTACCTGTCAGGATATCTTTCGTTATGGTGTTACCAGGAGTTCAGTTAATGAGATCTGTGCAGAAAGATGAAAAAGGTGATTTTCCTCTATACATTCCTGAAAATAAAGTTAAATGAAGGTTTTCTTATGGGCATGGAAGAAAAAGGGGCTCAAAGCCAGTGGAAAAATGAAAGACACTGCAGTGATGTTTACTTGCATGTGACCAAACCACATAATAAATGTAACTTCATCATGAATTAGATGGGACACATATCATGCTGCTGTGAAAGTCATTTAAGAGTGCAGTTGTAACTAGGAATGTGTACCAAAACAATTGACGTTACTGTCTCTCCTACTTAGTTTCTTCCTTAGAGTAGTAGTGTAAACAACTAAAATAAAGATATCAACAATAGCAATGTAACAGCCATGGATTTAATACAATGGTAAATTGAAGTGTCTTTTCATGCTGTTTTGTGAAGATTATTATTTTGGAGTTATGTGCATTGTCACAATGCTATTTATTACCTGTAATCTGGCAATGCCATTGTGTAAATAATGTATTTCCCTGGTATTAGTGGTTTTATATAATTCAGATAAACTTTCTGTTTTCAGATATGTGCAGTTCTTAAGTGGCCTTCTATCTGGATCTGTGAAAATGAATGCAACCCCTCTTTTCCTGCACTATGTTATCCTTCATGGCATCCCAAACTTAGATGCTGGGGGAGGTAAATTACCTAATTTTTCCTATTCAGGTGTAGGATCAAAGACTTGTTTCATTTTGGAACTTTCTAGAAAGCCTGCATGAATCTCAGAATAGAATTATTGTCGTCTTGATGTCCATCCAAATATTCCAAATAAATTAAGCAGAAGAGAAGCATTCTGAGAATAAAAACTGAAGCAGGTGAAATCAATTTCTGGTTCTTTGTTAAATGAATAGTTGATTCTATTCATATCTGCCTATTTCTGAACAGTTGTGGTCCCTGTTACTGCAAAGGATCTGAGAACCTGGTCAAGGTTCACAGTTATTTTCTCTTTGTTTTGGGAAATGATTATAAATGTAATCTCTTTACTGTTTTGATATTGGATTGTGTGGAAAAGCTGTTTGGATAGTTTGGGTGTACCTACAGAATTACACAGAATCATTTAGTTTGGAAAAGGACCTTCAAGATCATTGAGTCCAACCTTAGATGCAGCATCACTTTGTCAACTAGAACATGGCACTAAGTGCCATGTCCAGTCATTTCTTGAACACCTACAGGGATGGTGATTCCACCATCTCCCTGGGCATTCCATTCCAAAGTTTAGCAATCCTTTCAGTGAAAAAATTCTTCCTGCTGTCCAAAAGGAACCTTCTCTGTGCAGCTTGAGGCTATGTCCTCTTATTGTATCATTAGTTGCCCAGGAGAAGAGGCTGGCTCCCACCTTGCTACAACCTCCTTTCAGGCAGTGATAGGGAGTGATAAGGCCTCCCTGAGCCTTCTTTTCTCCAGGTTAAACAACCCAGCTCCCTCAGCCCCTCCTCATAGGACATGTGTGTACACTCTTCACCAGCTCCCTTTACCTCTTCTCGGCACACCACTGCACTTCAGTGTCTTTCTTGAAGTGAGTGGCCCAGAACTGAGCACAGTAGTTGAGGGGTGGCCTCACCAGTGCTACTGACATGGCTTGCTATCCAAAGTGGCTTTAAAGTTAAGATGATGGAATGACATAGTGTGCTAGAGCACAGTAAAGGAATCCAACTTTAAGGGTTGGACTTGATGAACTTAGAGATGATTTATGAACTTCATGATTTTATGATTACATAACAGTTTTGTGTTCCTGCACTTTTATTATCCAAAGGCCTTTTGTAATATAATCAGCATGAATTTGCAATGATTATATTGTCATTGTTGTTTAGTCTGATTTTATTTCTAAAATAACTGCTTTAAGAAAGTTAGGGTATTGTTTATTCTAGGTAGAAGTTTAAGGGCCTTATTAATTTTTAAACAAAACAGAAGATCGAATAATTTATTTTGAAAATGTTTTTCTTTTATATTGGGGGTTTGCTTTCTTTCAGCCATTATCATTCTTCCTTTAATAATTTAATTTTCTTGGAGAATTTGTTTCCTTCCTTGCTAGAATTCTTTAAAGTCCCTCCCCCTTGAATTCAGAACTAGTCTTCAATAAAATAAAATACCTTTTAGCCAACCTTGCTTTCAGGGGTATTTTGAAGGTCCAGCATTGCCACTTGTGTGCCTTTTTGCTCAGTCTGGATGTGCATGAAGCTTCCTAGTTACAGAACACTCTTTTTTTGTTGGTTTCTTTTCAGCTTGTCGGCCTTTTCTGAAGTTATACCAGGCTATGCAACCAGTTTATACATCTGGAATATAGTAAGTTGTAAGCATTTTTCATTATGTTTGAATTTAGATTTTAATTTTCACGATTGCAGAATTGCATAGCCTTTTTTAGTTTGTGGGTTTCTTGTTTGTTTTGTGTTTTTTGTGTCTTTAAACCACGTATTTTATTTTTTTTTTCTCCTGTCAAGTAGCATAGGGTCAGAAAATCAAAGTCGAATCTGCATTGCTATAGACCCTGCCCAGCTTTTGAAGGGAGATATTATGGTGAGTTAATTGTATGGAATTAAAGTCTGTTGACATGACATTTAGTTTACAGTTTCTGACCTGTTTTATGTTCTTGTAAAAAAATTATGAAATGAAATATCTGGAGATACTACAGAATAATTAGATTAATTTAGTCATCTTCTTTTGCTTTTGTGGGAATAAGAACTCATGTAAAACTCAAGAAGGTTTTTAGGAGCAAATTGTTTTCAAAACAATTGCTTTCAGCATTCTCATTTTATGGCATCAGCAAGTCCAGTGAGGCCTGTATTGATCTTTCCTTTATTAAGATTACTCTGGGGAGTATTTGTAATTTGGCATTAAAATATCTTGTCTTATAATCTGGTAGACAGTGTTCACAATTTTAAAACTACCTACTACAAAGAAATTACCTAAGTAATTCTAAATTGTTCTGGCACTCAAGAAAGTGCGATACCAAATAAGGGATAGGTAATGTCCAAGGTCTGGCCAGCATAGAGTTAAATTTTGCAGTAGCCAGACAGGGTATAGCTTGGACCCAAAGGTTATTTTGTACCACTTCATGTCACTTTTCAGGGACAGGGGGAAGGCTGCCTTCCTGGTCAGGTAGCATGGTGGAGGGAATGCTTGGGTATTGCTGGGGTTTCTGGGAGGTAGGGAGGAGGAAGAAGGGGAGAGGTCTGTGAACAGTCATGTATGAATTGTCTGGGTTTTATTTCCTTGTACCCTCTGTCATTTGTATTGTTGCTGTTACTGTTTGTGCGTCCAATTCTCCTCTGCAATCTGCTGCGGGGGAGGGGGCGAAGGGTAGCAATTGAGCAGTGTGTGTGGTTTGGAGTGTTTCAGTGGGAACACTGGATTGGAAAATACCATTCCTGAACCACCGCAGCCTTATTTGGCATCCAGTGTGAGGCACGAAGGGATAGGATAGCAAAAGGTCTGCCCAGAGTGGGTTGGAAACAAATTTCATCTGAGCATTTTGTTGCATTAAGTCCAGAGCCACTGGTCACAATGTTGCTTGATTTGTCCCTGTGGTGTGGTACCTAGCTGTATATATTTCCATACCCTATGATATTTTTCAGACGAGGGAGAGGGATTAAGATTGTTTTGTTGATGTATTATGTGATACCAGCACGGGTTGGACTCGGTGATCTTGGAGGTCACTTCCAACCTAGTCATTCTGTTGAATTCTGTTGTTGAATTTTTGGGGCGTGGGAAGGGCTTCCTTCCAGTTTGGATTGCACAGTGGAAGGAGCGGTTGGGCACTGTTGTGGTTTCTGTGTGGGGGAGGTTTGAACAATCGTATGTGACTAGTTTTGTTGTTTGTTTTTTTTTTCTTGTACACTCTGTTCTTACTATTGATGCTGTTCATTGTCCTATTTCTCTGCTATTTTCAGTAAATTGTTTTTGTCTCAGTCTGTGATCTTTTCCTTTTGTGCCTCCAATTCTCTTCAGCCTGCTGCAGGGGAAAAGGGGAGGGGGTGTGGTCGAGTGGTGTGTGGTTTGAGGTGTTTCAGTGGGAACATTGAGTTGGGGAATACCATTCCTAAACCAGACAGTGTCCTTGGTATCAGATTCTTTTTTTTAATCTTTCCATTTTGTTCTGTATATTGTTCTTTTGTTCTTTCACTGGAAAATGGAGAAACAATTTTTAAATGTACTATTATAAATTTGCATCTCTAAAAGTTTGAGACAGTTTCAAATTTTGTTACTTTTTGAAGGACTGTTGGTGCCTAAGGAAATGGAATACATCACAACAGAAATCAGTCTAAGATAAACTCAGTATCTCTCAAATGAGATTTTTGAGTGAAAAAAGATGTAGCTTTTCAGTAATGCATCCTTTTAAAAGAGATAATCTTCCATAATCTCATGCTATTATTTGAGATAATTCTGAGCAAACCAGTGTCTTTCAGCATTTCAGTATTTCCTAAACAAATACTTCAGTTTTGAATATATTTTTTTTTATTATGTCTAAGCCAGAACTTCAGTGGTATCAGACAAAAATAATGATCTGTAAGATGCTCCACCTCCAATTCCAAAAGGTTTGACTACTTGGAATGCATGTTTGTTTGTTTGTTTGTTTTTAAAAAGGTAAATAAAATATCCTTTCTTGCCTTAGCTTCCAGGAATTTGTTAACACAATGTAGATAGCGTGTGGTGATGCAGAACAGATGCAGCTGTTGAAAAGCTGCACTGACGTCTGCAAATACATGTAGGAATTTTCCAGCACGTTGCAGTGGCTTGCATTAATTCTTGATTAAGGCATCAAAAGGTAGTGGAGTCAGAATTTGAAGTTATGCTTAGACTTCATTGAAAGGTTATTATGCATACTGAGCACTAAAATATATTTTGAGTCTATGGATATAGGGGTAAAATATTACTGATTGTAAGAGAGGACAGATTTTCATTAAAAATTACAGTTCTCTGTAGGCAAGTTATTTAAGGCTAAAATTAAGTTAATTTGAACTTATGTTAATTTAAATTTTTAATTATTTAATTTTAAGTTGATCTGGGTTAAATCCAAGGCTGGTACTTCTAATTACAAAGTAGAAAGAAGGAGTAAGTCCTTCTCTCATTCAGCATTTTTACAAATGAGATTATGTAAAAGCCAGTACCTTTTGAGTAAATCCAACAACTGTGCAAAGCCAAAACTTAAATTGTGGATAAATGTATATAAACTTAAAGAAACTATTTTCAAGTATTTTTGCTTGCATAATACAATTAAATGGAATTACCACAGTTACTTTCATACCAGTTCTACATTTTGGAGCAGGTTAATTCTAATGTCTCTCATCAGGCCTCTTGTAATTCTGTTGGTGTCTATTTTTCACTTCTGGGCAAACTTGCCTTTTGAAACCTTTAAGATGGTGTTTTGCCTTTACAGAGTTGCTTGCCATACTGGAGAATTGAGCATTTGTTTATTGACTCAAGCAATCAGACTGTGACTCACACCTTACCCTTGGTGTATTAAAGTAGTGAAGTGATGCTGGTAGTTGTGCTGGACTAAAAGGAAGTAGATCCCTTTAATAGACAGGGGTGTGTACACAATGTTCCTTTTAGTGCATGTAAAGCATGTCTAAAAAAAGAAGCAAATACTATTTTACCTGGTATTGCCAATATACTGTAAGGGATTCTCTTCAAACAAACAAACAAACAAACATGAAACAAACAACTTCCTCACTTTCCGATAAAATAGAGGTTACATCCATGTATAATCTCCAAGCCCTTACAATGGGTTAGGAATATGTGATTTGCATACAGAATACCTGAAAAGAAAACATTTCTGGTATATGGGCTGAAATATTTCAGAAGTTGTCTTGTGTGCCAGGAATATGGTCAGTGCTGATTAACTTCTGGAATTTAGGATATCATGGGGTTACTATAATGAAGACTAGATAGTAACATCTTATGTTAGATTTTTCAAATTCTGTAGTGAGGGGAATTTCATAACTACTTTTATAAGCATCCCTTATAAACTTCCACATCTTTTTTGCATTATTTCATTTTAGTAACTATGCTCTTCAGTTATTTGGCATTTTCTAGCTACGATGCTTTTCTTATTCTGACTTTAATATAAGTGATATTTGTTTTCTTTTTAATGCATTTCAGTAATATCTGCTTTATCATAAAATCCTGATATAATCAGGATAGTATAACAAGATTTTCAGTCCTGTGACTAAGTTTGCCAAAATTTTTACATATTCCTGTAAGAATGCTGAGTGCCTTTGTATTACAGTAGACTCAGAGAATTAGAAGGTAAAATATCTATAGGTTTAGTCTAAGGGAAGCTGGTGTTAGAGAATAGGTATAGTGTTCACTTTTAGCTGCTGAAATTCATACAAGATGTTTTTGTAGAGTTCTGTTTTGTAGAATTCTAGCCAAGGTGTCAAAACTGCTATCAACTTCCTGCAGTTACTTAAAATAAGATCCTGTCATGACTAGAGTAGGTTTTTTACAAGTCCTAAAATAGATACAACTAGCTTGCAGGCTTGCTTTTAAGAAGTCCTCTTATTTTTCAGTTATTTTGAAATGGGTGTGCTGGAATTCATTAATTTGGTAGGGAAGAAGTCTGTAAACAGGTCAGCATTTCAATATTGTACTGCCAGATATTGTGATGCTGCCTCATAACCTACTGATAGGTGACTGATAATGATGAAAATAGTGATTTTTAAGTTTTACATATCTAGAAGTATCCTGCCTTGAGCCCGTGTAATTTCAAAGGATTGAATAATGCATACCCTGCTTCTTCCAACATCAGAGGTGTCTACAATAAATTGTGTTGTGGCTGTTTTAATTAGCAACTAATGTATATGCACACATTTTTTCAGAATTGTAAGAAAATACTTTCTGACATAAAATGTTTGTCTTTCTAGATGAAGTGTTATCACAAAAAATACAGGTCAGCTACTCGTGATGTGATTTTTCGCCTTCAGTTTCACACTGGAGCTATTCAAGGACATAGCTTGGTGTTTGGCAAAGAAGATTTGGATAATGCCAACAAAGGTACTTGTCTTCAGTGATTGGTTGGATGTGTATATGTGTATATGTGCAGGCATATGCATGTGATGATCTTCAGCACCCATTTTCAAAAGGATTCTTTTTTTTTTCCCTTTTCTTATTTTTGGGGGAAGGGAGACCGCTTTGAGTTAGTTTAATCATAGTGTGTAACACCAGCAAAAAACCCTGATGACAGGAAAAGCTCTTTAAGTGAGTTAACTTGTCACAATAATTCAGATACTCCTACATAGTCCTTATCACCTTCTCTCACATTCCAAAAAAACAGTCACCATTGAAGGAAATAAGATGAGCTAAATTATTCCCTTTTCTGGCTAGTGAAAACAGTCATAAAGTCTAATAATGTGTTTATGACATAGTCTGAGTCTTTTAATATGCTTCAGAATATCAAAGAATGGATGCAAAGTTTTCAGACTTGAAAATGTGTTGCACTAGTCCTCATATTTTCCAAATCTTATCGTCAGTTTTATTGTGTTTATATGCAGGACTGGAACTTCCTCAGCCTATGTTACTAGCAAACTAAAATCAAGCATATTTTCCTGCAACATAAAACATAAGGCTACCAAAAGTTTTGTGGTCAAGTATTGTGGTTTAGCTTTTCTTTATAAGCCACGCCTGTCTACTGTCTAGAGAGGAGGTTAGGAACTATACTTCTCTTCTGCTTTTGACTGTTCCAGAAAGGAAACAAAACTCCAGCTGGAATTTATGTGGTCTTTTCTGGAGAATGTGTGTCACAAAGAATATATCTTTTAAAAGCAGCTCAGTAAGCTGCAAGTGGGAAGGGAAGAGTGATGAGGGTACATGTATAGATAGCTATATAAAATCCTGATTTCTGGGTGTTCTGAAACTGCTGTCTTGGGAAACATCTTGCTGAAATCCTGTCCTTTTTTCTCAGATGACCGTTTCCCTGATTACAGCAAGGTGGAATTAGTGTTTTCAGGAACTCCAGAGAAAATTCAAGGTGAGCATAGAGAACCAAAAATATACTTAATTTGAAATGAAATCATATTGAAATACTCATTAAAAATATATATATTTTTTTCTTCTTTTATTCCACTTCTTTTGTAAAAAATCTGAAATTTTACTTTTTCATTAAAATATATTAGTTACTGGTTTAAATTTGAAAAAGTTAATAAAGACTCTGCATTTATATCAGCATAGAAGTCACCAGATTTTATTTTAAAGCTATACCAGAACACTTGCTACAACTAGTAGAAAACATTTGGTGTATCTGTATAGAACATAGATAGTAGGTGGTTTGGCTCAGCATAAGTGACAGCAATGGCCTATCCCAAAACCTTTCTTGGATAATTGTCATAATTATGTTTGCAGTGTTGAAGTTTGGACTGTTTCAGTTTAGCATAAAGAGATACAGCTATAGTTGTCTTGGAAATGCTTCTGCTTTGGAGTTGGCTTGTAGGATATTCTATGCTTCATATATTCATGTTCTATTATATGCTTCCAAAATTCTGTTTCAATATGTTTAAGATTCTCACTTGCAGTGAGAATTTAAGATTATGCAGATCATTGCAGTTTAATTCTGTTAAGGAATGTGTTCTCAGTCATTTTATGGTGTCCTGAAAAATATGAATTCTGCCTGAAACTGATTTAGTACAATAGTATATAATCCCTATATTTGTGGTTAATGCTTAGTTTTGCACCATACAGTGCTTAATACAAATACCAGAGATTAATGTGACCTGGTGTTAATTCTCTAAATCTGTGACTAACAAGTCTTATGCCAGCTAATGCTTCCTTATTTACTTATATTAGTGATTAATATGTACTAGTAGAAGTCTTAGTTTTGAGAACAAGGCTCATGTATCAGAACAAAGAATGATAAGATAAATACATTATGACATCACCACATCTTTGAAATACTCTAAAAGAGAAAAGATTAATCAGAAAATCTGAAACCATATCCAAATAAGTCCACAGAAATAATTAGCATATATGCATGTATTCAGGAAATGTGATGAGTATGTATTTGTTTCAGGAATATAACCTTAGGTTACTGGGGGTACATACTTTGAGGAGAAATCCCCATGCAGCCAGCGCTGCTAGTAATGTTGGCTTTCTAACCTATGGGTTGGTTGGAGAGTTTATTTCCTGATTTTCAGTGACACCTTGAAATACTTATTTACAATTTCTGCAAAATGAGTTTTCCTCATCTGAAGATATTATAGAATTACAGAATGACTACAGGGTACGTCTAGTCCATCTTCCTGCTGAAACCACATTCATTTGTGAGATGAGACCACGTTGCCTAGAGCTTTGTCCAGTCAAATCATGAAAATCTTCAAGGACAGAGACATCACAGCCTCAGTGGGTGGGCTATTTAAATGTCTGACTGTCCTCACTGTGGATTTTTTTTTCCTTATGTTGACTTTAAATTTATCTAGATTCAAATTTTTCCTGTTTCTTTTCCTTCTGCCTTGCTTCAACTTGGCTGTGTCCTCTATGGCCTTCAGGAGGCTGCTGTCAGCTCCTTATCAAGACCATTCCACCTCCAGACTGAAGAAGCCCTGACCTCTCAGCCTTTCCTCACAGGAAAAGTCTTTCAGTCCTGACCACCTTGGTCATACTCCCCTGAATTTGCTTCAATTTATTCATATAATTCTTGTATTCTGTAGTTTGAAGCTGGACACAATATTCTAGAACATAAATGACTGCGATATTTTAAAGAAAGAATGCAGTTGCCAAGAATATAAGATCCCTGAATATTTAATAATAAAGTACATATAATCGGCCTTGTGACAAATGTCATCACAGAAACTCTCTACAGATGGCTTTTTCCAGGCTGCACATAAAGGTACAGGACCATAGCATTTTGTAATTGTAAATATATTTGTTTTAAAAGTCACAGTATGTGCATAATACTGTTGCTTTAGAAACTTGTAGGACTTGCTTTGTAGACACAGCCAAAGGTTTGATAACTAAGGATTTATTTGTTCCCTAATCTAGACAAAAGAGAAAAGACAGTCTCTTTGATTTGTATCAGTATCAAAGCCAAGTTCAATGTCATGAATTCTTGATGCCTGTGCTTTCCTTTTGAATCACTGCACTATGCCTGAGTTTTTCAATGTATCCATTTAAAACCTGAACATTATTTAATGCCTTGTTAAGGGCACAGTAAGATGGGTTACTGCTGAAAATTCCAGGTATATTCAGCAAAGCATACTTAAATGCAGCAAAACACATTGATAGCCAGCTGTTTGTCTCAGCTTCTGCAGAGCTGCCACCTTGGGGGAACTGGAAGGGACATGAAGTCACAGTTTTCAGCTCTCCCTGTTCATCCTTAGTGACAAATTGCCCTGGTATAAAAATGATAATCTGTATGAATCAGAATGAAATCTGTAACAAAGTCTAATTTTATCATTCCTTTAGAACCATCTCCTTATAGATACTCATGGTTTCATTTGCAAAAGCTCTTTATCATGTCTGACACTCCAGGGCTAGGTGGATCATCTGTGTTAGTTGTGTTTAGGGACTGATCCAAGTTATGGATACATACATAATAATAATAAATAAATAATCATAAAGCTCAAGATAAAATTCTCAGAATGATAAATTAAACTTTTTTTAAAAAACTGTTTTATTTAATCTTTCTTCCCCTCTTGCTGCTTCTTACATTTCAGAATAGGGTGTTGCCATTCAGGGAGCAAACATCTGTCAGAAGGTACATACATACATCTGTGTATGTATATAATTACATATGTGACTGGTAACTTTTGGTCTCAAACGCATGTTTTATTTTAGGATGTGAACACCTTCAGAATGATCATGGAGTAATAGTTGATTACAATACATCAGACCCACTAATACGCTGGGATTCCTATGAAAATATGAGCCCTGATGGGGAAGGTGAGTAATTTTGTCACATTAGACCTGGGCAAAACCTTTTGTAACTGTTCCAGTGTGTTTGAAAGGAGAAAGGAGACCTCATTTACTTGAAGCTGGTGTGCCACTTTACTGATGTGTGAAATAGCTGTCTACCCTTCCCTATTTAGCATTAGTGGTTCTAATTTAGGAAAGAAAGCTATAGTAGTTAAGTGAGATCCTCGTCAATACACAGAATGAACTGAGACACATCTGTCTGATACAAGTTACTTTATTACTTGTAAATTTACCTAGAGAAGTTTTTTCTTTGTTCAAAGGTTTCTAATTGGAATTCTAATATAGAATTTTAAGAACAACAAAATTATATGGTGAGTTTGTAGCTTTTTGTTACTGTGTTATCTGGAGTATTTCAGAACATGCACTAGGCTGTTAATAAACAAACAGTAAATAATGTGCCTATTTTCATATCTCACTTTGTAAATGTACCTGTTTTCAGGTTTTTTAGATTTTTTTTCTGTAATCAGATGTCATGTACAAAAGATGAAAGCCTTCAGTAGCTGCCTTCAGATTCTGACTCCAGTGTGAATACTCTCCTGATGATTTGCTTGAGTGAATGCAGTGCTTTTAATGGATGTAGTTTACATGGAAGGACTCAGAATATTACACCTGTGGCTGCACACCTCAGTGCACATGCAAGCCTGACTTGTTGCAAATAAAAATATGAGATAAGGTATTGAATAGATGCCAAAGTTCTTGTTTTTACAACTTGCCTGTTATCAGATGAGAGATGCATGAAGCTATGATACTTAATTAGCTGTTGTCTATGTTAAGTTTCAATTGATTTTTATAATCTGGATTAGCATTGACCATCTAATGACCACATCAGTGTGGGCAGAAGCTTACTGGGAGCTTGACCTGTTTCCACTGCCTCACTCTTGTAATAAAGAGAATTTCCTAATGCACAGCAGACTCCAGTCTGCAGAAAACTGGGGGAATAGAGAAACGGTGATTGCATATGGCAGGTAGACCACTCCATAGGGAGTCATCAGATTTGGATGAGACTGTGCAGTGTATTTTAGAAGAAGTAATGTCAGAGAAACTGAATCTTGACTGGAGGTGGTGTCTTAATTCCCTCCCATGATGTTTCCACGTAATTTATGATTCCTTTCCTTTCCTCCCCCTGCCGTTCTTTCCCCCTTCCTTTGCATATATCTGGCCCTCAACAAGCAATGCATTGATGCCAAATATTTTTGAATTGCTGAGATTGATTGGCTAGATGGATTTGACCTTTCCATCCTCATGCATTTCATTGTAGGTAACTACAGCAGTACAGGAAGTTGAAAGCGAAGATAAACATGCAGGCAGCACTCTCTTGGAAGATAGAGAACTGTATGCTGCTCATGTCTTCGATAAGAGTTGGTCAGAGACCATTTACAGCTAGCATGTTTGCCTGCTGTTCAGAAGTCATGTGTGCTATTTAATTGATTTTTATATCTAATTTGTTTGCAGGGTGCTTTTAAAATTACCTGAGATAGAACAGAAATAGGATGTGATAGCACAGATATCGAGAATTTCATTGTTCATCTGCAAAAATCCCACTTGAATTTAAGCTAGAAAATATACCACAAGAATAGATTTAGTTACTCTTTTCTCAAAAAAATATTTATGAGGCAGACTGTTGCCCTATGATATTCAATAAGGGAATTGCAGGCAGAGCAATGTCTCTGCATAGGCTGGGCGAAAGATGTTGGGGAGCACATACAGAGGTGACAGCTGTATTTTTCTCTTAAGGATGGGGTCTTTCCTTAACACAAATTGGAGTTTAGTCTGCTGTTTAAGGTAAATATATTGCCATTGGGTCATCTTTTGTGTAAGATTTACCAGGACAAGCTTCTCTTTATGGTTTGTGCAGATGTTTAGTATTGTGCTTGTGCATTGAAAACGTGTATTGCATCCTAGTTTTCACTACAGGCGGGAGACCACTAAGAGGAGATGCCGATTTCACATCCAGAATGTGATCAAAGTCAAAAACCTTAGAATATGAAGCCTTTAGCTCTAATCCTAAAATCTGAGAATCTTTTCTGTACTTCAGAAAATATTAAGATGCAATACATGGTACATTTGAAAGTGCATAACAGTGGTGGAATGTTTAAGGTGTAGGGAAGTCTCATACAGAGCGCCTTTTTCAGTTCTACTTTACATTAAGTTAAACACCTAGCCTTATGTAGTAGCTGGTGTTCATGGTTTTACTTGTACCTGTTTTCCTAAAGGAATTTCAGAAGTAATAGTATGAGTTGTTAGTGTGACAGATGATTCTTATATTACAGTTATACATCTTTTTGTTAGTTTCAAAAAATGTGGGCCTATGGAATTTCTTACTAAGGTGGTCAGGAAGGCTACAGCAGAGCCTTGTGAACACGAGTTGTTTTATAGGTATATGTGCGTGGAATGTGTATTTCCAGGCTGCTGTGTTAAAATAGAAATTAGAACTGAATAAGAGAGTAGTATCTCTTTTGATATAGTATAATTATTTGGCTTTATTACTAAAGGAACAAAAGATAGGAAGACATGATTAAAGAAAAATATACCCAAAGGCTCTTGATTTACAGGTATGATACTGTAGTACAGATATAAGCAATTACCTTTAAAATTATGTTGAACCCTTCATTAATAAGACTGTGTACATAGATGTTGAATATAGCTAGGCTATGGACAGTTTGCTATCTGAATTTAGTTCCTTATCTTTCATTCTTAATATTCTTAAGGAATTTTGACAATTGAAAAGCAATAAATATTTGCATTTCTTCTTATAGTGTTTATTTTCAGATGCCTTGGGAAGTGGTCCTCCATAACAGATGAAAAATTATATTAAGTTCCTAATTTTCAATTTATATCAGATACCCTCCTCCTTGAGCAGTACATTAGCACAGAAACTTCTGTTACACTGACTTAAAAGTATGCAATTAAGTGTAGTATTTGGAACCAGAATAATAGGATCTGCCTACTGCCATGTAGAAGTCTGACATCGTTGCCATTGCTTTTCCTGTGGTTTTGAAGTCTGGAAAGACTTCTTGTGATAGAAAGGGACAGCAATTACTTTTGATCCTTCTGAGCACTCTTATTTTTTTCTTTAAAGTATCACTTACCATGCAGTAAATGTGCATGGATTTACAAAAGGTTGTTCATTTGCTGCAGAATAGCAAGATACCTGTGGCCACACATATGTAGTATCTTCCAAATTCTCTCTCTAATATGAAATGACAAATAGTATTGAAAAAAGCTCCTCCCACTCATCAGAGGGATTGAGGTAAATGGTAAAGGTTTGACTTGTCTTTTGTTGAGGAGTTAATTTTTAGTTCACAGCAATGATTTCCAGAATTATTACTTAGCACAGTGCACAAGAGATACTGTTCTTAATTACTTCCCTCCTGTTGAAAATGCAAGTCTTTTTTGAATAGGAACCATCAGTTTATGTGAAACCTGCCAGTGGATCCTGGTAAAAGCCTGGGCTCCAAAATGTTCTGAAAATGAATCAGATTTTAAAAAGAGATTAAAATAAAAAGATATTAAAATAATATATATTGCTGAAGAACATAAACTCATTTTAATAGAAAATGTGAATTATTGGAAGAACAGATGAATGCTACTCTTCCTTTTGCACTCTCCGACTGCTTTTTCTCAGGTCTGTTCTAAGTATCCTAATAGCACACTAAAATTATTCTAGAGAGAGAATGCCATTTGTGTGTGTGGCATTCAGTTGCTTGAGATACAGGATTTTCAATTCTTTTTTAAATAAAGAAAAAGTTTGGTAAATTCAAAGTTCATTGTTGGCCAAAATAGTATTTGTTTTGGTTCAACTGAATTCAGTGAATTGGCAACAGAAATGCGCATGATTCTTGTTCAGTGTTCCATTTTAAGACATTTCACTTACTTTAACAACTGCTAAATCCCTCTGCAATCTTTTGTCTTCCAGCACTACAGTCTGTGGAAAGAGAAGCACATGTGCATGTTAGAATTGCTTAAAATGACAAATGAAAGACTTTGATTTAGTCTTTACACAGCAGATACTTGAGTTTCTTTCTGAACAAAGCCTTGCTGTTTGTTTCCCAGCCAAGTACCTTTGCTTGCTCAGTGGTGCTAGACAGAACAGAAACAGCTTTGGTAAAAAAATGATCTTTTAAATCCAAATAAGGTAGGGCTGAGTGAATCCAAATTCCTGTATCTCAAGAGTGTTGCTTTCCAAATTTTCTGGTCTTTTGTAACTGTAATCAACAACAATCAGTTAAAATTTGCCAAATATTTATAAACTGGTTTGCTCCTGCTTTTTTTCTTCTCATAAAGGAAAGTATCTGAGAGGTGTCTCCATGTACACAATAAATGTTTCCATGGAGGCAATAAATAACCAAGATTCTGGTATGCAGCCATGTCATGTGATGAGATGTTTGACTTTTACTGAGATTTTTTTCTCCTCTTCAACCCAAAGTAAATAGCTATTCAGTAGGGAGGTGCCCTCTTATGTTGTTAAACACTTGTTTTTCCCGAGGGCCCCTTCAATATTGCAAAACTCAAAAGTTGAGGCAAAACTGCTTGGTTTTGGTATCTTAACAGGAATGCAGATGACTAACAAAGAAAACAGCAACTTTGATGCCATTTCTGCTGAGTGAAGTTGAAGAACAAATTCCTAGTGGATAAATGGTAATTTCAGTTTTTAGTCACCAGTTGGATGCAGTATTCTTTGAGACAAAGAGAAGTTTGGTAGAAAGTAGGGATAAAAAGGTTTCCTCTAATAATTCCCTCCTATTTGACATTAAAAGTAGAGAAGCCTATAGAAGGTAGACAAATTTACACTATAAAATGCTGCCAGCTTGAAACAGTTAATATAAAATGGTTTCTTTCGTATATTAGAAACATTGAATGTGAACAAGATTACAAGGTTTCGTTTCTAAGAGTGCATCAATAGGCAATTCTCTTTTACCTTCTTCATTAATACAGCATTAATTGTAACAGTACTGTGGCCTAAACTT